CTTTCAAGCTTAGACAATCCTTTCCAATCCAAAGTCAACTAAATAATCATCTATAATTTATTCTAGGTTTTGGATGTTTTGTTTGGTCTTCTGTAATGTTTGTTTGGCTTGATGCTTTTAATATAGTTAACTAGTTACTCCAGCTGGAATTTACTTGGTAAGGAGTAAAGGGCTAAACTGATTTTTCCTTCTGAAATAGCTAACTAATTATCCCAGTATCATTCACTGAATAATGACCTCTCCCACCAGTGGGTTAATCTAAAGAAAGCAGTATCTGCCATTCTTTAACTGCAAAGCTTTGAGGTTTCACCCTAATATCAGCACTTACACTGGGACACTGAGGTCAGTTACTTTATCTCAGGCACTGAGGCCGCAAAACAGGCTAAAGAAAAACAGTTACTTACTTCAAGAATTCAAATAAAGATAATAAATTGTATTCAAATCCAAAACAATTGTCCCATTATTTCTCCCTGGGGGAGTTTGAGATGAACCTCACTGGAGTTAAACTGCAAATAGATGGCTCTAGGAATGGTAAACATTAACTGGATACCAACTTCCCAAGGAGGAAAAGGGAGGTTTTCATGACTAGTACTCAATTTTCCACAGTAATAATAGTTGGTTTTAATGCAAGCTCTCAGCTTGCTAAATACTGCAGCATGCCCAGCTCTAATTCCTTGCTGAAGTGCCATGTAGAGAAGCATGAAAGGTTTAAAAAAGCCAATGAGGCATCTGCTTCAGAGGGGCTGTGGTTCTGAGCCCAACTTACTGAATGCTCTTCAGAATCAGATGTCTGGGATGAGATGATGGGGTTAAAGCTGGTTGGGGACAATGGGCCCAATTTTTTCCTCATGGCTCGGATCTGAAGCAGTGCCCGGAAGGCTGTGAAGAAGAAAACAGGCAATCAGGACATCCTGATGCAGGATTAAGGATGAACAAGAGCCCAGACAGAAACCATGATCCCTCCTAGCGTGCATCCGTTTGCCCGATCCAGCAGCAGCACGTGCTTCGGTGTTTTGTAAATGTCCTCTTGTCCTCTCTCCCACCCACCAGTCCCCCTGCCACTCTTGGGCTTACGCAGTCGGCAGATGGGGCAGTTGTTGGCCTGGTAGCGAAGGGTGTCTGCACAGGTGTTACAGAGGCAGAGGTGGCGACAGGGCAGAATCAAGGTGTCCCGGACATCCGAGAGACACACCACACACTCGGCACTGTTATCGCTCACTTCATCTTCAGCCACCTGGCCGAGGAGAAAGAAATTTAGCCAATGGCACAAAGCCCTTCCTGTCCCATACTTTATTGACAAGGCAGCTTGTCTGAAGAGCTAAGATAAGTAATAAGAACAAAATCTGGGCCGGGCGCGGTGGCTCAAGCCTGTAATCCCAGCACTTTGGGAGGCCGAGGCGGGTGGATCACGAGGTCAAGAGATCAAGATCATCCTGGTCAACACGGTGAAACCCCATCTCTACTAAAAATACAAAAAATTAGCTGGGCATGGTGGTGCGTGCCTGTGGTCCCAGCTACTCAGGAGGCTGAGGCAGGAGAATTGCCT